TAACCACAAATTGTAGCGGCCCTCCCCGGGGTGGGGGGAGGAGGGGGAGGAGGGAAGGGAGGGCTTCTGGGGGCTCCTCTCCCTCCCACAACACCGAGGGGGGGTGGGGTGAGGTGAGGCGAGGCTGTGGCGGTACCACCCTGGGCCTCCTGGGGGAGGGGCGGGGAGGGCATCAGTCCGTCTGCAAACTCCCAAGAGCTAGGGGAGTGAGCTGCCCGCTCCTTTTCTTCTCCCTCGATGTCGGCCTGGGGCGCCTGCCCCCTCCTGCCCGGCGGGTCCCGGCGCTCACCCTACCTCTGCCTCCACATCTCCAACCTTCCCTCCCTCCGCCTCCCCCTGAGTAAATGCAATGACACATTCTCCCAAATGCCAGCGAGCTGGCTTCGAAGCAAGTGATGGTGTTTTTCCTGCTGCCCTTTGTCTGGGTTGACCGCCCCCCTTGCCTATTGTCCTGCCGCCTGTCCCATTTCCAAAAGCTGAGGCTAAGCGAGGCGCCGGGGGCTGGGGCAGGTGACTAACCGGCTCACAATGCCCCCTGGGGGGCAGGAAGAGGGCACCACAGGCCCACTGCCCAGCGCAGAGGAAAGAAAAGGGCGCTTGGCTGAGGGTTTTTCCCTGAAGTTCACAGGGTTCTTCGTTCTTCTTCCCAGTGGCCAGGAGAGTGCTCATGGGTGGGGGATTTGTAATTCATTAATCAGCAAGAGGCACCGGACCAGTTTCAACACCAGAGGCTTCAGGGGTGACTCAGCGAGACCGACCGCTTGGATTCAGGCGATGGACAGACCAAGAGTCCCCATTTGTGAAATACTTCCCCATGAAGACATTTGGCTATCTCCTGCCTTTGGGGTTCGGGTTGTGGGTTTTTTCCAGTGATGGGGTAGGGGTGATTTGGCCCGGGACTGCTCTCCCTCCTTCCTTGCCTCAGGCCTGGGCTGGGACTTGCTGGGCGGGATCCCTAGGGGACCCATAAGCCTGGACCCTCCCTGGAGGGTCTCCCTTCCTCCCTCTACAGAGGGCTGCCAAGGAGAGTGCAGAGGAAACAGCTCTCATCTGGGGATGTGTGGCTTTTCTTGAGGGACAGTCAGCTGGGGGACAAGGCTTGAGTGTCCTAGAACCAGATCACCAATTAAATCCCTTGGTAATAAGTTGCTTTTGTTGTTGTTCATTTGCTCCTTCAAAGAGGGAGAGGCGCTGGTGGGCCAGACCTGGAAGGTGATTCCTCTCTGCAAGAGCATCAGAGTGCGCTCACCACTCCCACCGTGGTGCCCCCAGAGAAAGAAGGGCACCCTGCCAGCCCTGTCACAGCCCCTCCAGCCCTCGGGTCAGAACAGGCAGCGTGGGCATGACCAGCGCTGGCTTCCCAGGGCAGCTCTGCCCTCTTCTGCACTCCGAGAACTGAGGTGGGGGGGTGGGGGGGTGGGGAAGAAGTTTGTTTTCAATTACCTCACTGGAGTGGGACAGACTTTGTTGTTGGGTTTTTTCCTCTTCTTTCTTCCTTTCTTTCTTTCTTTCTTTCTTTTTTTTCCTAAATGAGGAGGAAAAGAGCTGGGAAAAGAGAGCTGTTCTGGGGTTGGGGTCAGGGGATCTTCTGGGGCATCAGGAGCAGCTCTGATGAAACCTGCTTTGGAGGGGCCCTTTGGAAAAGTGCTCAGGGGGCCTCCCTCCCCCACCTCCCCCAGCCAGAGCGCTGGAGTTTCAATGACATTCTTGTACGGTGAGCCCGACGATCTTTTGATGCCCGTGCCAAGGTCAAGTAGGCAGATGCCCAGTGGATGACTGGCACTGAGGCCGGCCAGGAGGTCCCCTAGCAGCCACCCTTTCAGAGGGAGCGAGCCATGGAAGGGAGGGACGAGGGAGAGGGGGCAGCTCAAGTCCTTCTCCCCTGGTTTGCAGCCTGCTCCTTGTGGAGAGCGTCTGCACAGACAATGTGGTTTGGATTTGGCTGAGCCCCCTCAGCACCTTATAAAGCACCTTGCTGAGTCAGGGAGAAAGCAGCCCCAACGCAGGGGAGGAGGAGGGGGCCGGGAGAGGATGGGGAAAGAGGGAGAGGGGAGCTGAAGGAGGAGGGTGGGGGCCCAGGGAAGAGGAGGGAGAAAAGAGAAGGGACGGGGCAGGAAAGAGGAGACACAAAGAGGCAAATAAATGGGTGGGAGTGGGAAGAAGGGGAGGAGGCAGGACCTGAGGGAGGAAGAGGAACAGACTGCGGTGGAAGTGGGGGAAGGGGACCATGCCCCCCCCTCCCCGCAGCAAATGTTCACCTCGGGAGTCTAGAAAGCATTGGTTTCCAGGAACCAAAAGCTGGAGCTCTAAAATGAGGACCCAGGCCAGGTGGATGCAGGGACCGCTGGCTTCCCACACTGCCCCCAGGCTTGATGCCCTGACCCCAGAAGCTGGGAAGTCGTGTCCTCCCTCTGACTCTTGTCTGGACTTACATCCCTGCCCTCTCCCTTCACCCATGGAGAGGGGGCAAGCCTCTCCCCCCTCTCACCTTCCCCACTGCCAAAGGGAAAATCCGCGCCACCTCCAAGCTGCCAGTGCCCCTCTGCCACATCTGGGCAAAGGCAGCAGGCTAGGAGCTGCCAGTTGGGTTGGGGTAGGGGCTGGAATAAAGACTGTGGCTTTATTCTGCCAAACCCTGAAGGAGGTGGGCTGTTGGGAATTGGGGGGAGAAGGAAGAATGGAGAGGCAGAGCAGGATTAGCCCCTCCTGGGTTCCTGTCGGGTGGCAGGGCACAGGTGGTGACCCTCTGATTTCCATCTGGGGACCTTGGGAAAGTTCTTGCTCCCCTGTGGCTCTCAGAAAGGGATGTTTGTTAGGGGCCCTCACAATCTGGGATTGCTGGTGGGGGAGACAC